GACTAACAGGGTTTGGTGTGTAGTGCCCTTTTAATTGATTTGGCAATCCTTATCTAGGGAATGACCTCCTTCAATGTTCTTGCCCAGCATGAGTACATAGATAGAATATATTGACAGAATAATAAGTGAGATTATTGAGAAGAAATAAACAAATATGAGTCCCCATAAAATAATAAAATTGATTTTTAAATAAATTAATAGATAAACTAAAATAATTGCAATTTTAATGTAACAGATTTACATTAATGGAATTTAATAAGCTAAATTTGTGGATTCGTTCATCATAGTATGAAGTGGTGAAAAGAATATAATGCTGATGCCTTCTTGCATCACCTGGCATCATTCTTTTTTAGGCTTTGTATATTCCATGTCTAGCATGTATGTTAGGTTCTTCCTCTGACCCTTTCTATTCTGAACACTCTATCTGCAGACTTCTCTCTTGGACTGTCCTCATCAGGTTCATGGGAATGGATATAGAAAGCTGTTCCCTTAAACCACAAGATTAGGGCAAAGCAAAATATGTCTTCACCAACTATCTGATTATATATAAAATCTCTCACTTTCATTATTTCAGAACCATAAATAGCTATCCACACTGCATAAATTCTATACAAATGACCCCTGCAATATACATTCATAAATAAATCCATGCCTGGCCTAATTAGATCTCACTTCACAGTAGCAATTTAGGTGTGCAGTGTATATAAACACAACTGCAGTATACATCAGCATACATTACTATATGTCTCCTTACAGCTAGCTAATTCCACTTAATAAGATAAATGTTCCATTCCTATCCTATAAGATTCACTCAATTCTAGCTTACAGTAAACAATAATATGCAAGATCATTTAGGCATTGCAAAATAATATATAAATATGCAATTAGCATTATCTCATGGTAAACAGTATCATCCTATAGACAAAGGAAATTGATTCATATAACCATAGGAAATTCTACATATTTGGATTAATTCATAAATCCCTATGAAATACTACACATTTGAAATTAGGATTACATCACATATCCATCAATTCTATCAATGAACTAATAATTGTTAAAGAATTAGATTGCACAACTTTCTAACTCATCAACAGTCCCATGAAATAAATACATGATACATGCATAAATCATAAGCATATCAAACACATTTGCATTACCCAAACGAAATAGAATATTATATGGAAATTAAAATTGCGTACCTTAATGCAGTTTCTTTTCCACACAATCGTTCATCCTAGCACTATAGTCTGTCTTTTACTTTCAAGACAGCTATCTGACCTCTTTACTTCTTTACGAGGGAAAACCCCATTCTTGGGTTTCCCCACAGAGCCAACTTGTCTTCTAAGAAGGAAAAAAAAAGATTTCTGATTTCCCCTACCTTAAATTTTCCCATTATTTCTAAAGTGTACACCTTAATTTTAACTGACCAATCAAAAGCAACTGTTTCTAAATTCTCCTAGTATAATCATGTCTTTCATCAGTTTTTGACAGCCTAGAATATGATGCAATTAACTTTACTTTGAAGATCAATTATTTTACATGAAGTCTCCTCCAACCAATATGGTCGATAATTCTAATGTACTCTCTGCCACATTACTGTTACCATGACTGGGTCAATTCCACTGAAGATCAAATGAAGGCCCTTTTATGTTTCAGATATGAAATAAAGAGAAATATCAGAATGAACTTTCTGTCTTGACTATGAAAACTTAAGGCACAATTGATTCAACTTCAGGGTTTAGTATTCAAAATTTGACACAATACAGGGACTTTGTCCTAAACCATGAGGGAAGCCCTGGATATTTTATCCTCACAATTAAAAAACGAAATCCATCTTAATATTGGGGTATTTTTTTTTCCACATTTAAACATGTGAGTACAATTGAAGGTACTGAAATGGAGGATGACTGGCTGGATCATCTGATGCAATAGTTACTTTTTGGACACTGTACACATACATATTAAAAGCCAGATCTAACTGCAAACAACATGGACCCTGATACCAGGGTCTATGATGTTTATTCTACTAATTACACCTTGCAAACTGCATAGACCCAGATCTTCAAGCCCATTTTACATTGGGCCGACCTCGCTGTCATATCTACTCATTACTCCTAAGAAATTGTGTAGACTCAGATCGGCTAGTCCATTCTACAATCAGCAGATCTGAAATCTAAGCAGTTTTCAGTGGGATCAGACTTGTAACTGTTGTTGTGGGGCTTAACGCCATTTTTCAGCACACGATAGGCTATGCATGGTGGCCAGTATTAATGATGGAGGAAGAAACCGGGAAATCACCGGAAAGAACCACCGACCCATGAGAAGCTACTGGCAAGCTTTCTCACATATCCCACATTCGACGAATCCTAAACTAAAACCCACGCAGACGGGTGAGATGGCAGTGATTCGTAACGGACAGCGCTTTAGACCACTCGGCCACTTGTAGGTGAATATAGACTGTAGACATGCATACAGTGAGTTCTCAAAGGGATTGTTTTAAAGATTCATCACGGGAAACTGGATCAAAAGTGATCTGTGGCTATCAAAATTTCATGGTTTGGTTCAAAAATAAATATTCATATGAAATTCATTTCATGGACTTCTCATGCAAAAAGCAGAACTAAATATATTGTCTGCAGTAATTGGATTGATTAGGTAAGCTACCCCTCGCTTAACACGTATATGTGTAAATCTGAATCAAAGATATCAACATCTTTTGGCATATAAGTAGAAGTTACCTTAATTTTTCAGTGTCTTTAATGACTGATATCAAAACAAAAATTCCTCAACATTTTGGAGAGTTGTAGCTAACTAAAGCCAATGACAGAAACAGGCTTTATCAAAATAAAGCTGGTATCTTCTCAGTATGTAAACAGTTCGGAGTTGAGTTAATGAATTCCACTCTCTCATCTACTGCAGTATTGCTGTGACCGCGATCACAGGAGTGAAAAGTTTGAAGTAATTTTTTTTTTTTTACCGGTACAGCATGTCTGACCTAAGGAGTCCTGCTTGATTGATCAGAATTTGATATCATGAAAGCTTTGAATTTGACTTCATGATCATAAGTTAGTGCAAAGTAAGATAGTAATGCTCTTTGATGTTTTTGAAAGCACACTGCAGGGAGAGGATACTGTCTAGTTCAAAGGAAAATGGCATCATGATATTTTGTTAGGGACATGCACTGAATCCCCCAGATTTATCTGTCAACAAATTCTCGCTAGTGCTTTTTGGCACCTTGTTATAGAAGTAGCCATGCAATTCCAATCAGAAGTTATGTTCCAGAAATTTTAATCTCCAAGAAAATTTTTTAGCCACAATTCCATGAGTGTTATCCAGCCAAGGTGATCGATGAGATGATTTGGGAGGCTTGGCTAGGTACTGTGGTTTGAAGGTTTGCCAAGGTAAGGGAGGTTATCCCATGTGATAAGAGAGGTAATCCCAGGTGATATGAGAGGATTGTCTGAATTTGGGAGGATTGCCCAGGTGATAAGGGAGGTAATCCCAGGTGATATGAGAGGATTGCCTGGATGATGTGGGAGGATTGCCCAGATGAAAAGGGAGGTAATCCCAGGTGATATGTGTGGATTGACCACATAAGTTTATTTGCCCAGGTTATACGGGAGGATGACCTGGATGATGTGGTAGGTTTGTCCAGGTGATAAGGGAGATTTCCTCAGGTGATGTGTGAGGACTATGGACATGTATCTTCAGATAAGATTTTTATTGACCTGAAAATTTCAACCGTTAACACACTAAATGGGTTACATACATACATGTTAAAAAATCACTTCAAATATACACAGTTAAAATTGGTTTTGAGAAAGTACGAACTGACCTTTTGATAAGTTATTCAGCAGTAATATGTATTTGAAATTTAAATAGTAATAACTTTGTTTTCTTGTGTATTGTTTGCAGACGAGTGACGTTGTGTGAATAAATTTTTTATATATATTAATACCATCACTTAATCACAATATACAGTTTCTGTTGTGCTGATTTGAAATCATACATACATCATACATTACAAAAATCTGGCACATAAATCTGATGTTATGTTAACTGTGGTGTAAGGCCATACACCGTACCACATACAGATATAATGAAGTTTGGGATTTTGTTTTATTAAAAATATCCCCGCCACCTAAGTGGCTCGAAAATTATTCCTATCCTGATTTGTAGATGAAAAGAATATAATCATATATTAGCGGGTACTGCAAATTACATCCCAAATAAACCTAGATATTCAGACAAACGTCCTAATGAATAAAGAGGTTCTGAATAAACTTTATTGAAAATCCAAATTAAATGCAATGATGGAAGTGTTTGATGTGCCTGTGTCGGCCCGTGTAATGGTGATGTGCTAATAGTTTTTTTTTTGTTGAATCACAATAATACATTCCATGAATATATCCTCATCTGAAATTTAACTATAAATTTAAGTCTCTTTTTCCAAGAGTCTTCTTTTCAACGAGCACTCTGTATTTCCATGGAATAGATAAATTGAATAAATAAAATTCCATACCAAATTAATTACTGGACACAACAAGGATACAAATAATACTTTTTCCTGTAACAAGATTATTTTGTTCTCTGCTTGACCTCAGGTCACAAATAGCATTTTCTACATGCAAAAATATTACCTAACGGACAATTTCAAACTGTAAGATTCCAGATGTTTATAAGATAAAATCTTTGCGGTGGTTAGAAGATTTCTTACTAAAATATAATCCAGATTGTGGAATACATCCGGTAGACCGAGGAACCGTGTGTTTTGTGATTTGAACGTAGCTTTAACATTTTTTTTGTTAGTCCTATCGCTACGATTTCTGCAGTGTGACAGTTGATAGTGATGTCTAGCACTGGGGCATCATGCCGCAGACATGTAGCATGATGTCTCACCCAGTCACATTATCTTGACACCAGGCCGACCAGTCCTAACACTAACCTGTTAATGCAGAGCGAGGCAGTTGACAGTATCAATTTATAAGTCTTTGGTATGACTCGGCCGGGGTTCGAGCCCGCCTCCTCCCGCATCTGAGGTGAACGCTCTAACCACTAGGCCACCGTTGCAGTTGGTAAGTCAGGTATATTTATAGAGCAATTCCAATAACCTCTAACAAGACCGAAATAAATCTTTCTTCTATTAATAATGATCATAATATAAAAAAAAACTCATTCCTATAGAAAAAATATTGGTTTACAGAATATCAACAAAAACCATTGATTCTCGTCAAATAGAAAATGAACTTTATTTTGGTGCAAGATTACGTCCATCATACAATTTACATTATCAGTAGCATACAATGATTTCCCTTTGTTTATTTACAAGCAGAACTCAACTGTTAATTTTTTTTTTCATGGTCGCATATATTTGGAGCGGTTGTGAACAAACAAACAACCCTCGGTTTTATAATCTCTCGTGCTTTAGGTGCAACAGAATACACGGCACTATTCAAGTAATGACTGTCCATACACTTTTTGCAGTCACACGCAAGAGTCCATTGTATAGAGCTGACTGCAATCCACGTAGACCGGAATTTGAGCAATATTAAGCACTAATAGCAAATCTACCTTGTACTTAAGGTCAATCAGTCGATAGGACAATTGGCAAAATTGATAACTCTCATATTTCGTGACATGTCAGTCAATGTACCCTCGATCCCATTAGGGAATAGTTTCGTGGCCAAATGCTTGCCTGCACGTAATGAACGTGCTGTAAATTGCAGAATATGCTCTCAAAAGCGAAACAACTAAGTTTCCTCTGCACCGAGTGGCGTAAGTACCATATCGTTTTGACAGTGTTAATGACTGTACTTTCAAAATTAGAAGTGCCAGAAAACTTTTCTGGTTATTATCCTAGACGTTTTCTCCTAAAAATATGGGAAAGGAAGGGTTATAACACACAAAAGTTAAATCAGTTGCTCTCTCTCTCTCTCTCTCTCTCTCTCTCTCTCTCTCTCTCTCTCTCTCTCTCTCTCTCTCTCTCTCTCTCTCTCTCTCTCTCTCTCTCTCTCTCTCACACACACACACACACACACACACACACACACACACACACACAAACGCAGTCACGCACATACATACATACATACATACATACATACATACATACATACATACATACATACATACATACATACATACATACATACATACATACATACATACATACATACATACATACATACATACATACATGTCCGTACTGAGTTCAATGGTGCAATGTCCGTATTGAGCACATAACGGATGGCTTATATTCAGCTGATTGGGAATAATTTAGAGCCTTATACGTACGCAAAATTCCAACATGAAACATCTTCCAAATTCACAACTCTTCAACATTCGGTCAACTACTCCGGTGGCTCACACAACGTTGGCATAGAGACATCCATAACAGCTACCGTAGCAGCAGGGAGGGTGAACCCTACAAATTTTTGCGACAAAATCGATTAAAGCCTCAGAATGCCAAATGGAGCCTTCCTACGAAATCTCATATTTTAACCAAAAAAAAAATTAAAGGCCCCATTTTACAAATGGAGCCTTAGCGATTTTGTCGCAAATACATTGTCATAACCACCCTCAAATTGCTGCCATCTACGGTCGCAAATATGTTGTCATTTCATATGTGAACCCTACAAATTTTTGCGACAAAATCGATTAAAGCCTCAGAATGCCAAATGGAACCTTCCTACGAAATCTCATATTTTAACCAAAAAAAAAAATAAAGACCCCATTTTACAAATAGAGCCTTAGCAATTTTGTCGCAAATACATTGTCATAACCACCCTCAAATTGCTGCCATCTACGTCGCAAATATGTTGTCATTTCACCCTCCCTGCTGCTGATTAATACAAATTATTTAACCAAATATTTGATCAAGTCCAATACGATATCGTGACCGAGGGTCGTGTAAATTTATTGTTATAAATCCATATGGGACTGACTGAGCATGACCGAAGTAATTTTTAAATCCATTGAAGTCCATATCGGAACACCATGTCTGCAAAATATTTCGTAGCGTATGTGTATCAACGCCGTTGAATACAGCAAGAATATTACAGTTATCGCGAATCACTTTTGGAATTTGAGTATATCGTTGAGTGACATATATCACGTCAGTGTTTTTATGCCTACCTCGGGAAAATACTCTCTAGCAGGGTTCTTTTGATTATCTAACATTACATCATCGTACACTACAAGATTGTTTATGTCTCCATCGAGGTCATCTACGCATGGTGCATCATCAATATCTGTTATAAAATCAAATTACACTTTCACCTTTAAGTTCTGATGCATTTTCATTAAAATCTTTTAGCACTTCATAGCACCGTTGATCATCTACGGATGGGGCAACTAAATATAATTTATCCCTACTTCATAAATCGCACTATCAAATTAAGCAGCAATTGTGTTTTGCCTGATCCAGATGGTCGATTATAATGGCACGGACAGAATTAGGAAGTGCTGCGTGGTGTTTTACCGGTTTCTTCTTTTAATCGCTGAAAAATCAATTATATTCATAACTCTATATATAAATTATGGATCTATATTGTGTTAAGTGTAAACAGCGTACTGATACAACCGATCAGACAACCATTACAACTAAAAACAATAGACTAGCGCTTACTGGTAAGTGTGTAACATGTGGTACAAAAAAAATTTCGATTTTTAAAAAAAAGCAAACTCGGAGGTGATATTGCCGCAAAAATTGGAAAACTCCCCGGAACCCCATGGGCAAAATACCCCGGAGAAAAAACACCTTCCAGGATATAGCTACTGTGGTCCCGGAACGAGATTAGATATCAGACTTGATGATCAAAATCAGCCCCGGCCTGGTGAGTATCCGATAAATGCTATTGATAAGGCATGTCATGCTCATGATGTTGCATATAAAAGCAATAATTTGCAACAAAGACATATCGCGGATGTAAAATTAATTCATGCCTTAAATGCTATTCCCGATAAATCCTTCAAAGAAAAATTGGCTTCATGGTTGGTCAAATCAGCTATGAAAGGCAAATTGGTGTTAGGTGCTGGTAATTGAAAACACTAGTGTTTTTTTATAGTATGGAATCTTTTTATTATTCTCCGAAAGGATACTGGAGGGGTAAAGCAGCAATTAGTAAACTCGCTAACGCTGCAAAAGTGAAAAAATCCACTGCAAAAGATTGGTTATCCAAACAAGCTATATGGCAAATTTATCTACCACCGCCTAAACAAATTAATTATTCTCATTTTGATGTTACCGTACCCAATGAAGTTCATCAGGCTGATTTATTGTTTTTACCACATGACCATGGTTACAAATACGCGCTAACTGTAGTTGATATTGCGAGTCGATTTAAACAAGCAGAACCATTGAAAACAAAGTCAGCTTCTGAAGTCGCTTCTGCATTTGAAAGGATTTATCGACGAGGTCCTCTAAGATGGCCAAATCTATTACAAGTTGATCCTGGCAAAGAGTTTCAAGGTGCTGTTCTATCAACAATGAAAACTCATAGTGTTACAATACGACGGGGACATACTGCGTTACATCGTGATCAGGCAATTGTAGAACGATTTAATCGAACTCTTGCAGAACGGTTATTTGGATATCAATATGCAAAAGAATTCATCCAAGAAAAACGATCTCGTGAATGGGTCCAAAGGTTACCGAGTGTAGTTGCAGCGTTAAATAACGAGATTACTCGAACTATTAATATGAAACCAAATATTGCAATAAAAAAAGAATATATTCCCGAACAACCGCAGCAGGTTAGCACTCAGCCACTTCTCGGTGATGTTACTGTGAGATATTTATACGAACCAGGAGAGCTTGAAGGCGGTAAAAGAAGAGCTACTGATCCTATATGGAGTGTTACTACGCATAAAATTTCAACCATAACGCGATCAACTGGTAGACCTCCAATCTACAGATTGGATTCAACTGCACCTCAGCGTGGTTTTACACCGAACAACTACAAGTTATTCCGGACAATACTCAATTACCGCCACATGGTCTTAACTAGCTCCGTTACGTCTATTACACTCAAGACAGGTCAACATCACATTGTTTCTGACATGACCAAGACTGTTATTTTTTCTGTCTACGGTGAATTGTCGAGGGTCTTTATCCGAATACTGCCAGTGCATTATACAATTGCAACTGGCGCAGTGATTATTCTGTTGTTCTTTTAATGCGATTATTACTTCAGCATCAATATCAAATTCTCGTTGTTTTTTTTTGTCCTGCTGTTTGTAACCAGAGAGTTTTTTTATTAATGATGCTAATATCAGTGTTATCATCGTTTGCATTAAAATCATCATCGAAAACAATCCTTCGTAGTTGATTTATTCGTCGTACTCTGGACACTGCGAGATAGACTAAATTTGACCATTCAATGCGATTATCAACTATCCAAACAATTGTATCCGTGATGGTCATCCTTGTGACGAGTGTATTGTTGTTACATAACCAAGCGTCCATGGTGATTTATCAGCGCATAATGCATCTTCTACAGTATTGATATCAACTAGCACAATATCATTTAACACTAGAATCTGTTTCTCCGTCTGGCCTGGAATTTCAACTTCAATATTCTGCTTTCGTGTATCCAATGGTCTATAACACAACGGTACTGGAAACGTTGGGAAATTTTTCTTGTGTAGCTCAAACAACTTTTTCTGAAGTGCGTCTCTGACTATCTTTCTACTTGCTACTACAAAATCATTTGGTTTCCATGTTTCCCAAAAATCATTCATAGGCGTTTCAGAAATTATTTCACGCGCTACTTCACATTGAATTCTATCGTGTTGTAATCTAATTAGTTTTTTAAACTCACGTAACTGCTCATCGAGTGCTCTATAGTCAGTATCAATTTCTTCGTAATAATCAACAAATCCTTTTAACCAATTATGTGGACTTCTACCAACAAATGGTGGTGGTTGACCATGATCGCCGCACAATATAACTTTTGTATTATTTTGCAATAACCAATCAAGAAACATTTTTAATACATCTTCTGAAACAGTACATGCTTCATCCAAATAATAACCGCTGGAATAAATTTCTCACCCATTCGCTCAGGAGTCCAA